AATTATATATTTTTCTTGCATTTTAGCTTTTATTTATTACTTGTCAAAGATTAGATGTCAAAGAATTTAGATACGTTAATTTGACTTACCTGCTTCAGTAGCGTATCGGATGTTTGTGTTAATAAATACTTATCTATTTTTTAACTTATCTATTTCTTAACTTATCTATTTTTATTAGAATTATATATTTTTATAACAATTTTAATAACTACCAACATTTATTCACAACGTAAAATAAAACAACAAATTATTGAGTCTACCCCACGTCTACCCTACATCATAGTTTTACATTTTTTAAATAAAATTAAAACGACACTGATAAACCGGAATTTAAGTCGGCCATATTTGAGGCCCATCGCGGTGTACCTAAGATTTTTGATATGCTCCTTCCTTAGTCTTCTTATTCAAAGGTTCCCTGTTCCAGTTTTAATTTAAAAATAGATGGTGGTTTTTCTTAAATTAGTTAAAAACGGCTTATCCAAAATTGTTCAAATTTGGCACGTGTATTCATCATACGCAGATCTTTAAAAAACATATCTACAACTTTGCTGTGCAATTAATAGGGGAGCCAATATTTAGACAGTTCAAAATTTGCATTGGATTTCCTATGTTTCCAACGCCGATGCACCACCCGGTGGCGGTGTTTGATTCGGAATGCACCTTTCCTATTTCTATAATTATTCCCTTTAATTATGAATTGTAAGGTATATGAGGCTGTGTGAGTTGAGAAGCCTGTCTAAATTTAATAACTCCTTTACAACTGTTCATGAATGTAGGTGTAAAGCTGAATAGCGTATCAATAATGTTTACATTAACTGCAAATGCTGGTTATTATTTTGTCATACTGAAATAGAAAACTTAAAGAATGAAAATGTTTAATATAAAAAAAATATTAAAGATACTTTAACAGAAAAATAAAGCATGTCAAAACGAATCAAAAAGTGTTTTGATAACATTTACAATGCGGTATTGCAGGATTTTATATTAAGAATTTAAAACCACCCTGTGATAACCAAAAATAGTATTGCTCCGTATCGGTTTGACCAATAAAATATCAACACTTACTAATTACTCATTTTCCTACAGTTCTGATGACACCTCACATAATATTCCAAATTTTACTACTGTGCCTGCTTAATCCAAGTTTTTCCCACCTCGATCATCTTTAATATTGAACTGGCAACCATGCATTTCTTTGTGTCTCGATCATAGACTTAAAATAAAATATAGACTGAGCATCTCATTCATAAATAGCTGGAACATGCGGTCAGACAATGTCTTGTTATTGTTGTGTTATTGTTTTAGGTTATAACGAGTGCGACATGAGCGATAGATAGGTTGTCTCTGTCGTAACGGTCGTTCTCTGACGACTCTGCCGAGAAACACAACACTGTCTTTCGTTTCTCAGGTACACCTGAACTCTCCGTATCATAGCCGGGTAATTTTTTTATTTTAATGAAGCTATAATTAAATTAAAAATATATCGTATTTAAACTTTTTTATATTTTATTAAGATTTAGGACAGGTTTTTTGAATAAAAGTTTAGAAAAAACGTCTTAGCCCGCGGTTACATTGGACGCGGGTCCGTGCGTTTCTTTAAACGTGCGAGCTCTGACTAAAAAGTTGACATATGATATGTCATTCTATTCAGAGTGTCATTTTTTATCGAATAAAGTAGCAATATACCGAGGGTGCCGTTTAAAAATTAAAAGTTATAGTCATTTCCGGTGAAACAAGAAGTGACCAAAAACAATTGGATGCATCAATCAATCCTAATTTATGTCATATACTAACATACTAAATCTTGTTTTTTTATTTGAATATATAAAAAAATTATGGGGGATGAGCTACTTTTGGGACGCACTCGGTATAATAAAGACAGTACCGAGTTAAACAAATCTGTTTTTTTTATCTGAAAAAATAAAAAAGATATAGGGGGTGAGCCACTTTTGAGACGACCCGGTATATTAAAAAATATTGTTTCATAATGTAATATCATTTTAAAATTCTTGTATGTTATTTTAGATTCTGAAGATAATTTTAGAATAAACCGGAATATATTTTTAATAAAAACATTATTAATTATTAACAGGGTTATAATTAAGATTTTGTTACAATGTAAGTAAGTAAATAATGTAATGTAAGAGAAAAAAATCAGATTTTACATTTTACTAAAATATTATCTAAATAAGCGCCTTTCTACAACAGCGCCACTGACTCCTAATGGGTAAATTGAGAGTTGCCTGCCGGTCGAAAGTCGTTTCAAGACTTAAATGGATTATTTAAGTCAAATTTCTTGCAAATTTGGCACTGGTGAACCATATTTTATAGTTCTTGAACAGAAAAAGTCAATAAAATAAACACTTAAGGACTACAAGCTAAGAAAATGCGTTAATACAACAGGGGAGATAGCGGCAACAAAGCTTTGCCGCACACGTCCGACACGTACTACAAGGTAATAAATGAATGAATAGGCTCCCTCGCCTCTAATCGGTGTTGTGATATTGTAAAGAACTTATCCTTTTAAAACAGTATCCGACTTATAATTTAGTAGTATAAGGACTATTTAATACATCTATGGAATATTAAAACCTACTTTATTAAACTGTAGTATTAATATCTTAATATATGTGTATAACAAGAAAAAAAATATTGATAATATTAAAGACGTGACAACATAGGCTGGATGAGGAAGGCTCGGTCGACTGTACCCAGAAGTAAACATGTATACAAAAAAGAGTGTTTGTCCGCGTTGAGATGTAAATAGTGTAGTCTATATTTTATTTTAAGTCTATGGTCTCGATCTACCAGCTGGTTATAGTCAACAACTATCTTTATCTTTGTCTTACGCGTTGAAATACAGACCGCGGATTTAAGGTAACTTTGACGATTTATGAGCTCAACACAAGGCCTTGTTGATCTTGTTTTTTTTATCGAGATCACTAGTCTCATCTAATCAAAGCTGTGTGTGGCTATCATTTTTAATTATTTCAAGTCTACTACATACATCATATAATATAGTTCATACCAATTAAAGTTTTAGTCACGTCATTAAGCTTGACCGTCACAGCGTTGCCCACTTTTGCATATTTTCTTTTAATCAAAATATTTTAGAAAACAAAAATAAATTTATTATAAATATATAAACAGTTATTATTTACATCAACAAATCTTCTTAACAGCACTTAAGGGACATAAAGGGTCATTACTACCGCATTCCCGTACAAAATATTCTAATAAGGTTGCGATGAGTTTTTGCATTGACTATTAAGCTCCCTTATACACTTTGCACTAAAAGAGGTTCTAAAAAGAACAATATTCGACTGCATGATTTGCCAGTAAAAAAATTAAGCTTAAAGAATCGCAACATCAATTCATTTAAACCAAAAACTCGTAATACAAAACTAAAGTGTCAAAACAAATGACAATGTCAGGAAATAAATAAATAAATGTGACAACTTGATATTTTTTACAGCAGAGCTACCACCTGAATCTCAGCGGGAAATTTAAGTTCCAGTTAATCAGCCCGGCGCCGAATATACCCATGGTTGGCAACAATGAATTTAAAAATCGCGCCATCGATTACGTAACTAAAAGTTTAATTGGTATCGCTTATAGGTACTCTCATTTTCTCGGCTTGCAGTATTTTAGCTTTATCTCATTATAAAAGAATTATTTTGGCAAATGTTCGTATATTTAATGATAAATATGTAGTATAAAAATAGATCCGTCAACAGTTTGATATATTTTTGTCGTGTATAAGGATTTTGCGTTTTCCTAATATTTATATTCAAATCTCTGTGTTTTAAATTTATATTTACTTTAATACTTGAGAGATTGAGAAGTTAAATATGAAAACAACAATTCAAAACATCATGTTTAAATTTTGAGTATATAGTTCATTCAGGGGAAGAATAATATGACAGCATCAGTTTTTCGTCAATATTGTTTGAAAAATGTTGTTTATAAAAATTATTGAAACACTTGTTCTTATTTTCGCTGTCCTATAAATTTGTCAGATGATAGTTTATATTATAATTACGGCTGCAAATAGAGGGTGTTCCTTAATGACGTGCTAATATTCAAGGAGGTGATTCTTACGTTAAATTTCAAGCATGGGAAAATAAGGGTTACGGATTTCAAAAATCTCTCAAATTTTTGCATCCGCAAAATTTCATCCAAACTGACTTTTCTCTACTTGGGATGTGCCAGACTGTTATTTCAATACGGGGACCCTGTTACTAAGACTTCGCTGTCCGTCTGTCACAAAGGTCTATCTTATGAACCGTTATAGCTATGTTGCCGCTATAAGAACACATACTAAAAACAGAATTAAATAAATGTTTATAAATAAAAAAGTACTTTCACTAAGCATTGTCTTTTAAGTAAGAATTTTACATAGAATCTTTCAAGTCCTCGGTGGCCACGTGGTTAAAGCGTTAGGACTTTACGCTGATATGACGTTGGAGCCGTAGTAAGGCAGGTTCGAATCCTAGCCAAGGCGACTTTTTTTTAATCGCTTTTTTTTAATTTTTACTTATTTTTACATATTTATTTTTACTTTTTACATATTTATTATTGATTAATACAATTTTTAGTAATGTGTTTCTTCATTTTTTTTAAATTACTTATACGCGCATTCAAAATTTCAGCTAAATCGGAAAAAAAGTTTATAATAATGTAGTGTCTAATGTTGTATAGATGATAATGAATGGTACGGAACCTTTCGTGCGCGAGTGCGACTCGCACTTGACCAATTTTAATCTAGTGAACCCATACGAAAATTTTAACCAGACTCACAAATTGTGATTTAATGTCACCACACGAACATACTTTTATATATCCACCCAATGGGAAAATATGTAAGTACAAAAAAAATCACTGCCACCAGGACTATGACGTTGTATCTGATACAGAATTTGTTTGACTTACTCTTACATCACTTAGACTCATCTAATATTATCAATCATCTAATTCATTGTTTTTCTTTGTTATTGCAGTAGGCATACCTCAGATAAAATGGTGCGGATCAGAAGGCGACTACAACGTGATGGTGATGGAGTTGCTGGGCCCGTCCCTGGAGGACCTCTTTAATTTCTGTACCAGAAGATTTACGCTCAAAACGGTGCTACTGTTAGCCGACCAACTAATATCTCGTACTGATTTTATTCATTCGAGAAATTTTATTCATAGGTAAGATTTTTTGTATACAGGGTGGTCCGAATTGTATACGGGAAACTTCTGCAGATAAAAATAAGTAAAAAAGTTCCTGTAAATTTATGTCATAAAATGCTTCGTTTCGGAGATACTGGATGTAGAAGTTTCATTTTTATTTAGATTCTTTCCAAATAATTTCTGAACTAATATCGATGTTTGGATGAAAATTATTGTCTGGGAATTTTTTGCCATGAGAAATTTGATTCTGATGTCAATATAGTGATGGGCAAAACTGTTATTTTTAGATAACAGTTGAAACTGTTATAGTTATTTATAAAAAACAGCTTAAAATAACAGCTTAAAAATAACAGGTTTCTTTATTTTATTGCTAAATATCTGAAAGAATATGAGGCGGTCACCGCCAGGCGTATTAACGCAGTTGCAACAATGACGTGCTCGGTGGTAGTATTTCCAGGGTGTCATAACATTTCTAAATATCGATTGTTATCTAAAATACCTCTCTAAAAACGGGGGTTGTTTACAAATAAGCGCTGTTTACAAATTGCGATATAAAAAAGCCAAAATGCCGCCACTCGTCTATATCTATAAATTCCGATCTACCTACGCCCTACCCCTCGATCCGCGTAGATTCTGAATTGCGTAGCAGTGTACAGGGTGCATCTCACTCGACGGGCGAGAAGCTCTTCGTTATGATTTTACCATTTGCGGTCAAAAAATAGCAATATAAGAAAATGTGTAGTATATTCTTCATAAGTAAACCAACTACACACTAGAGTTCGAATTAATTTTACACTTAAACTAGCATGTACAGTTTGACAAATATAGGAAGAGACTTGGGGATAGCACCGGTCGCGCACACGATAGAGAGAGAACGCATTCGGCGGAAGAGAGATGCAGTTACGCTACGAAAAATCTGATTGAAGCAAATTTGTGGGATGTCCACTGCGCATCGGGGGGCGTCTCTTATTTTATATTTCTCACGTCTCTAGCTATACTTGTTAAGTTGTACCCGCGACTTCGTTCGCATCGAATTATTAATTTGTAATGGTGATGATAAAGCAAAGCAAGAATTTCCATTAACATACAAACTGGATAAAATTTTCTCACATTTGCCAAAAATATGCTTTAAACGTCGAGCAGTTTAAGCAGAATCGTGGTTAATCAATTACTCAACTTTTTGGAACACCCTGTATTATTTTTTAAAAAATTTCAAAATATGTAAAAAAACAAAATAAATTATGCGTGTCCAATCGTTTTCCCGAAAGACTAACCGTTTTTTAAATAATAAATATTGTAATATTTGAGGGGCGTTTTCACCCTCTTGGAATTTGAGATTCGAGAAACCCCTCCTTATCGCACCTCTACACCCCACAGTCAATCCGTTTACCAAAAATCAGCTTTAAACGTCAAGCAGTTTAAGCAGAATAGTGATTACTCAGTGGTCATATTTTATGAAACACCCTGTATATATTTTGTAAAAATCTCAAAATATGTAAAACAACAAAATAAAATATACGTGTTTAAGAGTTTTTTCGAAAAACTCACCAGTTTTTAAATAAAAAATATTCTAATATTTGAGGGTGGTTTCACCCCCTTAGAATTTGAGTTTCGAAAAATCCCTTCTTATCGCACCTCTACACCCTAAAGTCAATCCGTTTTCCAAAAATCAGCTTTTTACGTCAAGGGCTTTAAGCAGGATCGTGATTAATCAATGACCAGATTTTTCAAAACACCCTGTATACATTTTTAAAAAATCTTAAAATATTATTCTGAAAATTTTTCAGAATAAATAAATACTTAAATATTGAAACTTAATAACAAAGTATTGAAACATACAGCGCCATAATATCTCGACCTCCGCCCGTTATGCTCGTAACAGGTTGAAAAACAATATGTATCTAAAACAACTGATGCGTTATTCTCCAACCTGTTTCAAACCTCCGATTATCTCGAACGCCGTTCTGTTATGCTCGTAACAGGTAAAAAAACAACATAGCTAAAACAACTGATGCGTTATTCTCCAACCCGTTGCGAGCCTCCATCGACAATCGACCGATGCAGCAGCGCTCCTTTCCCACTCCTGTTATCTCGACAGCCAGGCGTTATGCCCGCAACTGTTTCAAAAAAGCTGCTTCTTTTATATCCTATTATTTTTAAGCTGTTGTCAGCCCAACACGACGCGCCGCGCCGTAGCGCATACCCCACTCCGTTGTCCGTTGTATCTCGCCGCCTGTATCGATGGTTGTCGAAATAATAGGTTTTCCATCCATACTAGTTGTTTTTTGGAATTGCTTCGAGCAGCATCGAATTTCGTGGCGGTGCAGAGCGCCGACTTCGTTTCACGAACACTCGATCTCTGCGTGTCGTTATTTTATATCTGTTATTTTTTAAAAGCAGTAACGGTTGCGTTATGTTATTTCTAAATAATTGTTATAAAATAACAGATAGTTAAATAACAACCCATCACTATGTCAATATGACTTGTAGGGGCCGCTACCTACATGTTTTTTAACTTGTTTGAAGTGTAATAACTTTTCGTCCGTACCTGTATTACATTACTGAGTGAAAAAATACTATTTCCGTCATTTTTTACGCAAAAAAAGTCTCTTGCTAGAAATCGCTACCAGTAATGGTTCTCAAGATATTTAGAATCGAAATAGTCAATACATGTCATAATTGACAAGAATTATACATGTTGACTGGATAGTTACTAGTCTGAAATAATAAATTTGAAATGTTTTTGTGCCAAATATTCAACAGAAACTGTTTTATAGTAAACGCCACGAATGTTTGGAAGTGATTAATCGGTCGCTACCTTTGAATAAGAAGACTAAGGAATAGTGATGTGTCGGTATTTGAGTAACGCGATTTTGGAGCGGTATTTTTTTGTAACGCCGTGTCGCGCTCCACAACGAATGGGGAACCTGTTACTGAAGAACGACGATCATAATGACGACAAAATTATAAATTATTTATAATTTGCAAATAAATTATTTATAATCGCTCTTGAAGTTAGCTTGAACCGTAGTAACCGCATAGCGACGTGTTTAGCTCCAGCCGTCGCGATTTCGTCGGTCGCCTACTACAATAGTTACTGGAACTGTACGTAACGTCGGGCGATCTCGATGGCGACGGCGACGTGTTCACTCCAGCCGTCGCGCTCCTAGAGTTGTAGTTTCCTGTCGCATAGCTGCTGTAACTGGGCATCGACGCTCGACCTTGGCGGCGCGGCGGCCTACTTCGCTCCAGCCGTCGCGCTGCAGGAGTTTTATTCGTTGTCGCGAACAGAAGTAACTGCTGTAACTGGCTATCGACGCTCGACCTCGGAGGCGGCTTACTTCGTTCCAGCAGTCGCTGGAGCGCTTCTAGGGTTTCGTTTCTGTAGCGATTGGGTCGGTTACTATTGGCGTTGGTGCTCCCGTCGCTACGTTACTTTTGAAATAGCGATTTTTGGTATGTATTAAGCCTGGTATAAAATAGAGTTGTTTGAAAGATGAAACGTAAAAGCAAATAAAATAAAATGAAAATTTTATTTGCTTTTATACATTTATATAAGTTTTATTGTTTATATCTATTTTTAAGGTCTGATGATGGCTAGAATTGCCGAAACCGGTCACCAATAAAGAATTTTTTTTTGACAGTGGTTTGTGGGACTAGGTAGGTAGTATAAAATAAAAGTAGGTACCAATGCCAGAAATACTACTCAAGCGAGGACCGCGACACTTAGGAAATTGGAACCTCGAGTACAAAATCGCGGTATTTTTCTGGAACGGTCGCTATTGTAATTGTCGCTCATGTGGAACCGGTATTCCCATCACTACTAAGGAAGGAGCATAATGCTATCCATGTATTAATGCATGGTGGGCGGAAAAAGGACTCTAAGGTGGGGATCCTTGACAGTTCTGTTTGACGATTCATTTGACACATTTGAATTTGATTTGAAATTTTGTGGATTTGTCAGTCTTTACGACGCTTATTTTATGTTATTTATTATTTATTCTACTACTGATAGTTGTATAAAGGTAGTAAATCTAGATGGAAATTGTGGCAGAACTTAAATTAACAGTGACACTATCGCGATTTATCGAAAAATACTCTAAAATAGTTGGTTGTGTAGCGTGCGTTAGATCTCGGCAAAAATCGAGTGAAATAATGGAAGAACTTTTCGCTAGTAAGTGACTATATAATATACATACGTGTAGTAAACCGATCATTTACGAAATTAACTAATTATATATTTTTTCTCGCATTTTTGCTTTTATTTACTACCTGTCAAAGATTAGATGTCAAAGAATTTAGATACGTCAATTTGACTTACCTGCTTCAGTAGCGTATCGGATGTTTGTGTTAATAAATAATTATTAAGAAATTATCTATTTTTATTATAATAATATGTTTTTATAATAATTGTAATAACTACCAACATTTATTCACAACGTAAAATAAAAAAAAAACAAATTATTGAGTCTACCCCACGTCTACCCTACATCATAGTTTTAAATTTTTTAAATTAAATTAGAACGGCACTGATAAACCGGAATTTAAGTCGGCCATATTTGCGTCCCATCGCGGTGGACCTAAGATTTTTGATATGCTCCTTCCTTAGTCTTCTTATTCAAAGGTCGCTACCATGTGAACTAATCTGCCCAAGGTTACATCAAACTTAATTCCAGTGTCGTGGTGTTTCAAGTCATATAATAATCAATATATAATCTGTTGTAATTTGTTGTTTTAACTGTCAAAGTGTTGTCAAAACATATATTTGGTTATAAATATAAACTGAAATGCCCCATTGGTCGCACACCAATGGACTGACGCACAAAAACGAATCAATCAAAGAAACGCGATGTAGTATCGTCTTTGTCAATCACGCTAACATTTTAGAATAGGTAGGAGGAGCGCAGGCAGATGATTAGACCGGGCCTCTAAAAACCTACGTCTGCGGTAAAAATTTACGTTTTTAATGTAAAAATGATAGCGCGCGTGTCGATTCTAATTTCATCAAGCGATGAATCACTCCCAAACATTCGTGGCGTTTACTATATTTTATTTTTTTCTAGAAAAATCCATGATTGGCTTAAAAAAATAAAAAGTTCTCAAATTTATCATTTCAGTCAAATAACTATCTAGTCTACATGTTTATTTTTTGTCAATAATGACATGTATTGAGTATTTCCATTTCAAATATCTTGAAAACGGTTGCTCGTAGCGATTTTTACCAAGAGACATTTTTAGAGACAAATTGAAAATATGTTTTCACACCGTAGTTTTATACAAGTACGGACGAAAAGTTATTATTCGACAAAATAGTTGAAGAACATGTAGGAAAATCCCCTACATGTAGGATTCATATTATCATCGAAATTAAATTTCTCGAGTCGTAATACATCCAGACACCAATTTTCATCCAAATATCGATTGTAGTTCAGAAATTATTTGTACAAAACCGAAATAAAAATGAAACTTCCACACCCTGTATCTCCGAAACAAAGCATTTTAAGACATAATTTATACGAACTTTTTTACTTATTTTTATCAGTAAAGCAGTTCTGCTGTATTACACCCTGTATATTATTACACTCTCTAAACTGTTACTGTGTTGTACATGATTTAAACATTAATTAACAGTACTTGCATTCTATTTAATTTATTTTGCAAGTTATATCAGAAATAATTTTATGCATTAAAGTATTCACTTTATATCATTGACATTTACCAGCAATGTAACATTTTACTACTTTTGTGGCTTTTTGTTCGTTTAGTTAAAGAGGACCTTTTGTTTTATACAAATAATGTAAAAAGGTTACCAGAGAAAGACTTGAAGCAGGATATGTTTTATATACAGGGTGTCTCTGTAATAAGTTATGAGTAAAGAGATTATATCAATTTTTTTGTTTTTATGTTTCAGGGATATAAAGCCTGACAATTTTTTGATGGGCCTAGGAAAGAAGGGTAACTTAGTGTATATTATAGATTTTGGATTAGCTAAGAAATATAGGGATGGTCGAACTCAAATGCACATACCATACAAAGAAAATAAGAATTTAACAGGTCAGTATTGATTTTATTTTAATTTGATATTACATATACAGGGTGATTCCTGTAAGTCGGTCATGCTTTCGAGGAATGATAGGGGACGTCGAAATATTAAGTTTGATATAGCACACTATGGCTCGGAAATGCCTCTTACTTAAGATACAGGGTGTTAAACTTTTTGAATAATTAAAGATATTCTTTAATAGTTTTTTAACAGTTGAAGGTATCGTTATCAAATTTCATTATAGGAATCTACTTAACAGAGACACTTTAAATGTAAAAAGAAGAGGTTTTAATTTCAACCAGTGGCGTAGCTGTGATACGCATGGGGTAATTTAAAAAAAAAAAAAAAAAAATAGAACGCCACTGATAAAAATAAAAATTTCGGAGTTTTATTTACTCGGTTTATTTCCAAGAAAAAATGTCTCTTGCGACTTTCTCCTATCTAACACCATTTTGTCACAATTTAAAAATAAATAGATTTTTTAATGAGAATCTTAAATACAGCGAATTATTATAACTAGAGGGCTGAAACACATGTGCATCGTTAGCTCCCTTCATATTGGGTAACTTTAGTACTTTTTTCTATTAGCACTAAATAAATTTTTGAAAAATTATAAATTTAAACTAGAATTTTTTTTTTTATTGTTAATAATAAAATTCGTAGTTTTAAGGTAGTTATAATAATTCGCATATTTAAGGTTCTCATTAAAAAAATATTTATTTTTATATTGTGACAAAATGGTGTTAGATAGAAGAAAGTTGCAAGTGACATTTTTTCTTGGAAATAAACCCAGTAAATGAAAAAACTCCGAAATTTTTATTTTATCAGTGGCGTACTATTTTTTTTTTTGAAAATATTAGCCGATGCGTATCACAGCTACGCCACTGGTTGAAACCAAAACCTCTTCTTTTTACATTTAAAGTGTCTCTGTTAGGCAGACTCCTACAATAAAATTTTATAACGATACTTTCAACTGTTAAAAACTATTAAAGGATATCTTTAATTTTTCAAAAACTTCAACACCCTGTATCTTGCGTAAGAGGCATTTCCGACCCATAGTGTGCTATATCAAAATTAATATTTCGACGTCTCCTATCATTCCTCGAAAGCATGACCGACTTACAGGAATCACCCTGTATAGTTCATATCAAATAAACTTTTACTCGAAATTAAGCTTGACTGGCACACCGTTGCCCACTTTTACATATTTTCTTTTAATCAAAATATTTTAGGAGACAAAAATAAATTAATTATAAATATATAAACAGTTATTATTTAACATCAACAAAACTCGCCTTCTTAACAGCACTTAGGGGAGATAAAGCCCTATTACTACCGCTTTCCCTGTTCAAAATATTCAAATAAAGTTGCGATTAGTTTTTTACGGCTAACTTGTACGCTTCACACTAAAAGAGGTTCTAAAAAGAACAATGTTCGACTGCAAGGTCTGCTAGTAAAAAGTTTTAAGCTTAAAGCATCACAGCACAATTCATTTAAAATTTAAACTAGCGATGGGAACTATCGAATGAATTAGACTATCGAATGGATACTGAATGAATGATTTCAACTATCGAATGGTTTTATTCAAATAAAATCATTCATTCATTTGTATACTAAAGCATATGTGACAACCTCGCCGTGCGACTAAATGGTTATCGTTGAGTCACGACTATCGAATGTTTTTGATAAATGAAATTTAGTATTCGTTTGATTTTTGTGTGCGTCAGTGGTCAGTGCATTATTAGTTCTTCCAAATTTTTATAACTTCGCCTTATAAATACTGTGCTATTTTTGCGTTTATTAAAATATTTAAAATACTAAAATAGTAGTTTTTTTTAATTGACGATTGTGTGCGTGTGCAGGGGGTCAAAATTTTTCCGAAAGTTTGTGTGATTTTCCGTAGCCCGATCTTTCAATTATTTAATTTTATATGGTATATGGTTTATTTTTTAATGGGAAATTTTGAGAAGTAGCAATTTTTAAGAGAGATGAGATGAACTTACAATTAATTTTAAAAATATATATTTGTATTTTAGATGTTTTAATAATATGAATTAGTTGAACATAATAATTATATTAATTAATGTGGTTAAGTAAACGGTTATCGAACTCAGACTATGGGGTGAGAAAATTAAATTGAAAGTTTTACACGTGCCAATTTAAAAAAAAGTTAACGATATTTGTATTTTGTTTATGCTAATTCTCTTACATGTAGTTTTTTGCGAAGAAATATTTCATTTATTTTTTAAAGTAAATACCAGTAAAAGTAAATATTATTATTATTAAATAGTAATATAAACTTAATATAAAGTACCAAATATAAATAATTTTGATTTCTAATTTTTATTTATATTTTCCTTGCATTACACTGCACGCTTAGAAAATTAATAAATGTTTATATTTCATGATTTTAAAATTTGTTGTTAATATAACAACTTAGTTCTGTAATTATTATTATTTAATAAACCAACGTTGCCACAAAAAATTGAGAGACTATATTATTTTTAAATAGGATCTAATATAAATAATTTTGACATCTAATTTGTTGTTTATATTTTGCTACTACTTAAAAAAATGTTTATATTAAATGATTTCAAATTTTGTTGTTAATAGGAGGAGGTATAACAAATTATTACTGTTATTATTATTTATTAAACCAGTCTTTGCTTAAACACATTAAAAATAATTTTCCTACATCCAAAATAACAAGTATTATTGCAGTGTAACAACAGAATATTAATAAAAAAAATACAAAATATATAGACATACTATCCCTAACTAACTAAAGCCAAACAATAATATTCTTTGCTAATATCAATTAATACCGAGACTGATACCAATATATGGCGCCCTTCATAATGTATTTTCTGTGTAAATACTAGCACCTCAATAAAAAAAATAATGTGTCCTTATCTTTATCTGACTCAACAAAAAATCAAAGATGCCGGCTTCTTTCATAGCATTGCCACCGACCGGGTTTTTCGGAAAGAAACCTACGTCGCCGGGCGACAACTAAAATCCAGTTAATATTTTATTATAATCGATCCTGACGAATAAATGAATTTTCTAAATGAATGAATTTTATAAATGAATGGTTTTTGCTGCCGAATTACTAGAATACAATATTTCAAGGCAGATGACGCATCCATTCGATAATTTTTATTCGAATAGTTTTCAACGAATGTTTTTTTACTAGCTATCGAATTATTCGAATGAATTGCAACTATCGAATGTTTCGATAGTATTCATTCGATAGTTCCCACTACTAATTTAAACCAAAAACTCGTAATACAAAACTTAAGTGTCGAAACAAATGACAATGTCAAGAAATAAATAAATAAATGTGGCAACTTGACATTTTTTAGAGCAGAGCTACCAACTGAATCCCCAGCGGGAAATTTAAATCCCAGTTAGTTAGCCCGTCGCCGAATATGTCCATGGTTGGCAACAATGAATTTAAAAATTGCGCTCTCGATTACGTAACTAAAAGTTTAATTCGTATCGAATATATTTATAGTGTCTTGAATTCGAGGGGATATTCATTAGGATCTTAGAAACTATAACACCAAGGAGGTCGAAAAAAAATCGAATAATTCTGAATATATTCCGAAAAGAAACAAAATATTGTAAAATAGTTTTTTTTATTTTCCTGTTTTTTTCTCTAACATACAGGGTGGCCCATTAGTGACAGTAAGTTGAATACCGTCGTTGTTGACAAGGATATGAAATAAAGTTTAATATAAACGTTTCATGGTTTAAAAAGGTGCATATCTTAAAAATATTTTGTCGTATACAGGGTATCACAAAAATACTAATGATGAATTTGTAAGTTTTTTTAAATTACAACCCCAATTTTTCTGCACAGAACTAGATTCCACATAAAATTCTGCATGTAGTAGACTATTTTTATTTAAAGGAATATGCCCAAATGGTAAAAACTCGAAGTGAAATTTAACTTTATTAATGCTTACCTATATTTTCCTAAACATCAAGGATATTAGGCCGTTACTTGACCCGTTCTCGTTATTTTTTAATGGCGCTTACTGCTAGTTGGCTTTAAGAAGCTTGCGATTTATTTTTATATTGAGTAAAAATGATTTTTAAATGATATAGTTTAACATTCGACAAAGGGTATTTTGTTGGAAATAGATTTTTGTGTCTGGAAACGTTTTATCCTTTTTTAGTCGTTCTATAATTATTAGTGTTCATTTTTATGTCAATTTTTAGTAAATAGCGTCGAGAGGTTAACCTCGCCAAAAGTATTATCGATTGTCATTCCCCAGCCGTCTTGACGCCGTTTTCTTTCGATCATACGGTATTTCCATTATTGTTGATCGTATAAAAAAAACTAAGATTTTTATAAAAAATCAAACCAAACTCTTATTGTAACGTGAATTGAAAGTACTCGTCTCTTAAATTTACCGTTGTCAGTTGTCTCCGAGATATATTATTTCCTTTGTCGTGTATGTAAATCAATCGTCGTCGTATCGAGTTTACAATACCGAAAAATAGGTAAATCAATGCACCAATTGGAATAATTACATATTAATGACGCACTCGATATATTATATAAGCTTTACAATGCGGTAAATCGGTAACAAAACGCGCAGACTTCCTCTTTGAATTTGCGTCGACACGTTTGAGGCCACGAGTTTTTTCTTTCGCGAAATAACTATTGAAATGGGAAATAAAACATTTAATAAACGATCTTATTGTGCGTTCATTTTGCTATTATTAATTTGCTTTAATTAGCGTCGCTTTTTATACCTGCTACAATAATTGCTATTATTCTTCTAAAATAAAGGAAATAATATAAATAAACTCAGAAGAATGAAAATTTCTTCCGTCTGAGATATTTAATAAAGTTTCGTCTACACGTACCGTTTTACCTGTCAGTCTTAGAGGGCGTCCATATACCGTATGATCTAAAAAAAAACGGCGTCCTGTTGGTTGGGAAATGACGATCGATGACATTGCCCATATAAATTTACATATAAAATGACAGCGATCTTCATTTCATTGCCATCGCTGACGCCGTTTTTATTCGATCATACGGTATTAACGGTATTACTGGCGTTTTTGAGTATTGGCATATATTTTGTACATTACAGGAACGGCTAGGTACGCCAGCATAAACACTCACTTAGGAATAGAACAGTCGAGGAGAGACGATTTAGAATCTTTAGGTTACGTTTTGATGTACTTCAATAGAGGCTCGCTGCCTTGGCAAGGGCTCAAAGCGGCCACGAAAAGGCAGAAATACGAGAGGATTTCTGAGAAGAAAATGTCCACAGCCATAGAAGAACTTTGTAAAGTAAGTAGCTTTTTATAAATATAGTCTGGTCCAACGACAAAAATCTCGACAGTGATGAGTCTTTTTAATTTTAGTTTATTTTATTTACAAAAAAAAAATAGTTGGTGCAATTAAAATGCAAAGCGGGAAATCAATATAATTAAATTTTTAGTGACGAATGATTACTTAAAACTGAAAAAATCTAATCCAGTTATTTTGTTAAAAAAAAGTTAGTGTGTGTTTTAATACAAATGTGTATGTTAAACAAACCACCACATACCAAAAATCCATAGAAAAGAACGATTTCTTACTTTCAAACTTCAAGAAATTTCCTGCCTTTATTATTATATTTATAAATATAACCTATGTACAAATAAAAAAGTTTTAATATTGCACAGGAATAAATAAAACACAACATAAATAAAATAAAATATTTTGTAAATAATTGAATAATTTACAAAGCCTTTCTGAACTTTATACCTTAAAAGTTGGTTTAGTAATTTTAATCTTAACTTTTTAAATTGGTATCTTTTCATCTTATCCCTGCACTACTAAAATCTGTTTATATTTACCTGTTGTATGATTAATTACAACTCTCTGGATTTACACTTCTTTTTTGTCGATTTTTTTTTCACTTAATTTAAAAAAAAACACAAAACACATGTAATAATATAAAGCAAAATGCAAAAGCAAATTGGAAAATATTTATCATTTTTCAGGACGTTGGTTATATGATATAATTTTACACAGATAAACACCTATAATTTGGTACGAGTTTGGCAAAAAGTCGAGTTCATACGCACCTGCGTCCTTGCGTCGTTTATCGTTACGTCACTTCAATCATATTGAAATATGATCTGTCATTTTTTAAATAATCCAATAAAACTGGTTAAAAACAACAAGAGACGAAGACGACGCATGACGGATTTATATCCCGTATATAACTCTCACTTTTGGGTCGGTATTTACATGTGTGGAAGTAAATCGCATAGTGATCTTATTAAGTCGGAGTGAGGTAAATGCAACGGTGTGCTGTTGCGGTGTTGCCACATTTCTCCGGTACGCCTTTCCCTATCTAGTAAAGTAAATCGCAACCCGCTTATTTTTAAAAGACTTTTTTTCGAAAAGATAACTAAATAAAATCATTAGATATGGTTCTGAGCATCTGAAATGGGATTATAAGGATTCCTTAAGGTGTCCATCTTTTTATAACGAGAAAAGTCAGTAATCGCGATAAAATTATCGCGATTTTAAATGAAAACTCAACTTTTTAACACATAACACGCGATAACTCAAGAACTACTTTAGATATTGAAATGCTTATTTTGAAGTGCGGATCTTTTGCAAGATGTTTAAATAAGAAAAATTTGATAGGCTTGTTTTTTCCACTCAAAAATTAAAAAAAAACTATCGGTTTTGTTTTAGTGCATTGCAATTTTCAGCAATCGTGTAACTTTTTTATTTATAAAGATTTTCACGTACTGTCTGCGAAGAAAATATAGCAGAAATATTAAGAAAGTTTTTGAAAAAAACTATTATCAATTATTTCTAATGGATTTCGAGATATCGATTTTTGAATTCAGAGTTCTAATAGCGCGACCACTGTCGAACACGATCAACTCAATCCCACTTATTTTTACCAAAAGTGCAAGTGTTTCTAACTTGCACTTAAAAATTTACAAGCTATAGAGAAAATTACAACTCGTTAAAAAATAAACAAATAAAGTATCACGAGACATAATTAAATCGTGAAGCTGAACGCATGATGTACACTCTTCCCTAGAATTTTAAGTATTGATTGGGTCGATCGGTCGACCTCGACGAATCTGCTATATCCCCTTCCACGTCTCTTAGTAATGTGCACAGTTTCTCGGTTTATGTCATAGGTTTGGCAACGTTTTTACTGTTCTCTCTTTGTTCAGTACATTATACGTATTGTACTCTTATTACATACGGAAATCTCGACCCAAAAGTAACCTTTGTCAGCCCTTAGTACAGACCCATCCATAGTTAACTTTAAAAATATTAGAAACTTTTTTAAGTGAAATAATTGGATTGGTATGGCCGTCATCTGCCTTTTTTCTGTCATCGTCAGTCAAAATCTTCCGTTCATAATAAAACTGAGTATATGCATTCATTGCTTTCTGTTCTTTATAGGGTTATCCCGCCGAATTCGCCACATACCTTAACTACTGCCGACAATTAAGGTTCGAGGAACGACCCGATTACAGCTACTTGAGACAGCTGTTTAGGACATTATTCCATAGGAAAGGTTTCACGTATGATTACGTGTTCGATTGGAATATGCTCAAATTCGGTAAGACTTTTCTCAGTTGGCAAAACGTTAATTTATCGCGAATTTTTGTTTATTTTCCAGGGGCGTCACGCGGTAGTCATTGTGACGAAAACTCGGGTAGGTCAGCTGCTAGATACGGTTCGCATACGGCCGCTGCGTTGGCAGGCAACCCGGCAGACACGAACGCGGCGCCATCGCAGCAACAACAGAGGGTAAGGAGAGCTCACGACGCGCCTGCGCCTAATCCGTCGGAAGATGTTATTACCAGCAGTAAGTATTTTAAGACCACGATTTTTTTCTAGCATATTGATTTTTTATTAAACAAATTATCTGTTATAATGTTTGTTCAGCGATGGTTCAATGTTACGTCATATATTGTCATATTCTTGAACTCTCTTTTCCACTTGACAATAAGGAGAAAGTTATTGGTGACGTCATTAAGGCATTTTGTAAATTATTGCATATCGTTTCTTGTAATTGTCATTTGATTTGAGGTTATATATAATTTTATATTTGGAATTTTTTATTTGAAAAGATTGTTTCTGGTAATTATCATTTGATTTGAAATTATATGTTTTTGACAGACGATCACTGTCAAGCCTACAGAGAAGTCTGTCTTAAGACAAAAGCCTTGACAGTGATGGATGTGTCTGTCAATAGCATTATTAGACACAAAATTGAAACAAAACCTCTGCTGAGAAACATTGCGAAACAGTTTTGGCAAATTTTTGATACATATGTTTCGTAACATAAATCGTTTTTTTTTCGCTGTTTCGAAACATTTTACCAAAATATTGTTTCGCTACCTAAGCTATAACAAAAAAGATCTTAGTGTCAAAAATTTTTCGAAACTTTTAAGAAACATATGTGGCTCACATTTACAGATTTCGTACCCGTTTTATGCCTGAAAAGTTTCCATAATTTATTTGATATTTTGTCATACAGGTTGTTAACTCGACAGTTACTTATAGGGGAACAGAATGGCAACACTGCCTATTGAGAACACATGCATTATTGATTTTTCTGCCGACTCGTCCCGTCGCGCGTCGCGTCTTCTATCGACGAGCGGGCCGAGGTTGCTATATTTCAACCATAAAGCTCTTGCCGCGAGTAATTAGACAATTAGACCGCGAGTAAACAAATTAACAACCTGTATATGAGAACATTATTAAATAAACGATGAATTTGCTTTTGTCAGACATTTTTTATACGAGAAAACCTAAAAACAAAGATACAAAAAAGATACCAAAGACAAAAATTATGGTGGAAGTCGACATTGTTGATGGCTTTCATTTTGAAATCCACACACAGATATAGACTATTTTAGTTTGGTATTTTGTTTCTTCCCATTTAGAAACAGTGGCTGCTGAAAACGGAAACATCTAGGACACAAATTAAAGAAAATGTTCCGAAACATTTCCTCTAAAAGTTTTGATTCCGTGTCGAAACATTTCAGGAAACGGTTAGTGCCACCACATTGGAAAAACATGTAATAAAGCCATATAAAATATATAGGTTTCGAAAATGTTTCCTATTTGTGGTATACTGTTTCCATTTTGTGTCAAGAAAAAAGAGTGTCCAAAAATGGTACTTGGGAGTACTTAAAATTTTTTAAACAACATGAACTGACTTCAGACACATTCTAAAACGCATATTTGTCAAATAATTATGACGTAACGTTGAACCATCGCTGAACAAACAGCAGCTCTAGTTTAGATACATGTATGGGTACAAAAATGTAATTATTTTCAATTAACAGACTAACAATTCTTTACAGATTCACCACGAATGTACGACAGTCACGAGAGAAGAGTTTCTATGCGTTTAAGGGCTGGTCCTAACGCCTCCACGTCGGATTTAAGCACGTCGAAACAGGCAAAGTGAGTTACTTACCCGTCACTGTTCATTTGTGTCATTTGTATATTTTACGTTTAAATTATTACAATTAGGCATGCAAGGAGGATTCCCGCACCTCGCTATAGATAACTTTATACCATATATGTATATCTCATAAAACAGATTTACAATAAATACCATTTTAGTCGTGGATATCATTCTATCAGTGGGAATACCGTATGATCGAAAAAAGGCATTAAGTTGGCTTGGAAATGAATTAGGTGACATCCACCATATAATTTTACATATAAAATGACAGCGATCTTCATTTCCAAACCAACTATGACGCTGCTTTTTAATCTTATGGTATTTTTATGGGTATAGGAGGAAAATGTGAACGACTTTACTTATACCGTGCTATAGCTACTATAGCTATAGTTCTAGCTTATTTTTTGTTAATTTTCTAGTATTTTATAATCCTAAGATTAATATTTTATTATTTAATCTGCTATCTCACTACTTTTTAGTTAATGCAGTTATTTAAATAATTTAAATTTTATTTTTATTAATTAATTTTAATCAAATTTGAACCTTTTTTTACTTATACCAACAGAGTTTTCTTGAAAAAAGTTTGGTAGCTACAAAAGTATAAACATTATTTTCAACATAGTTTTATTAAAAAAATACCAATTTTAATTTTCTGAAATATCGTGTTCGGCGCTGTTGAGTAAAATTATAGGAGAAGAACTATGGCTATAATAAATGTTAGTTTTTATATAAGACACTAAAAAAGAACTACAGTTGAAACATATAAAAAAAATATTTTTGCAGCGTTTTTATTGTGATTGCACTTTTTTCTAAATTAACTAGTATTTTCCTCCTATAGCATACAAACTTTATTTATTTTTATCAAAACGCATATTGCTTTTTAAAGTCATTCATAGCAACCTTTGAATAAGAAGACTAAGGAAGGAGCATAATGCTATCCATGTATTCATGCATGGTGGGCGGAAAAGCACTCTAGGGTGGGGATCCTTGACAGTTCTGTTTGACGATTCATTTGACACATTTGAATTTGATTTGAAATTTTGTGGATTTGTCAGTCTTTACGAAGCTTATTTTATGTTATTTATTATTTATTCTATTACTGATAGTTGTATAAACGTAGTAAATCTAGATGGAAATTGTGGCAGAACGTAAATTAACAGTGACAGTATCGCGATTTATCGAAAAAGACTCTAAAATAGTTGGTTGTGTAGCGTGCGGTAGATCTCGGCAAAAATTGAGTGAAATAATGGAACAACTTTTCGCTAGTAAGTGACTATATAATATACGTACATGTAGTAAACCGATCACTTATGAAATTCATTTGAATTAACTAAATTATATATTTTTCTTGCATTTTAGCTTTTATTTATTACTTGTCAAAGATTAGATGTCAAAGAATTTAGATACGTTAATTCGACTTACCTGCTTCAGTAGCGTATCGGATGTTTGTGTTAATAAATACTTATTATAACTTATCTATTTTTATTAGAATTATATATTTTTATAACAATTTTAATAACTACCAACATTTATTCTCAACGTAAAATAAAACAACAAATTATTGAGTCTACCCCACGTCTACCCTACATCATAGTTTTACATTTTTTAAATAAAATTAGAACGACACTGATAAACCGGAATTTAAGTCGGCCATATTTGAGGCCCATCGCGGTGTACCTAAGATTTTTGATATGCTCCTTCCTTAGTCTTCTTATTCAAAGATAGTAACACTTGTTTTGAACAGCCATTTTTTGATAACATGGATAATGATACATTAAAAATAATATTAAAGGATTAGGCGTTTCAGATTGTTTGATCATTGTGGTGTAGTTCTTTCTAATTAAATGTTATGATTATTATAATCTTACAAATTTGCATCCTTAGTTTACGCCTGTGATTATTCAAAAAATGGTAAATTTAATGAATGGTAGCAAATTCTAAGATATTTTTTAAATATTATAATGAATATATTTTTATAAACTTTGGTGGTGATAAGCTAAGTTTGCAAATCTATAATTTCAGGATATTAAAAACAGTGATTCTATTAGTAAAATATTGACCAGCTTAAATATTATTGCATTTTATTTTATATTTTAACATTATTTTTCATGGTATTTTTTATGGCATTTTATTAATTACACCTTATATTTACTACATTAAACTTATTAACGCTGGAGCAATATCTTTATGTTATAAATATTCTGAGATTATAATGTAGGTACAGGGTGTTTATTTTTTAGCTAATAGCTATCTCCGTAAATATCAGTTTTAGAAAAAAGTTTAAATTATGACAGTTTTAGAGTTTCATTTGATTGGCAATAATAAATTTATTTACGTTAATTTTAGTTTAAGCACAATTTATTTTGCAACATTATTTTCGGAACAACAAAAAACCTTTCTTCTTCTTTCTACTTTTGTCAAATTTTGACAAAAGTAGCATTTTTTAATATAATGTCCTATGTCTGATTTTTCAGTTGAATAGACAGTTTTTTTCTGATTGAATAATATAAAGATTCGATAATAAACTACATTGGGGGACAAATATCTAAAGCTGGCATCGCTGCGCAGGACAGCGGCGGACACCGATTAAATTAAATCACTTGATACTTTCTTATTCTGTCTCATTCTTACACCTTGAGACATCTCAGCCTTGAAGTCATTGCAGTCCATGAAATTCGCAAAATTTTAATTCTGAAACTTTCTATCACATAAAATCCGTTTAATTTTATTATTTTAATAGATAGATGTGTGAAATAATACTTCAATCTCCTTCATTTCACTTCCCTATTACATTTGGCGCCCAACGTGGGGCATCCGCGTATAAATGCAAGTCGACTGCGTCGTGTAAAACGTATTAGTCGATTCTGAAACTTTCTATCGCATAAAAATCTGTTTAATTTTATTATTTTAATAGATAGATGTGTGAAATAATACTTGAATCTCTTTATTTCACTTCCCTATTACATTTAGCGCCCAACGTGGAGCATCCGCGTATAAATGCAAGTCGACTGCGTAGCTTAAAGCTTATTAGTCGATTCTGAAATTTTGTCTCGCATGTAAAACATGTTTAATTTTATTATTTTAATAGATATGTCAAATAATACTTCAATTTGTCTTTATTTTGCTTCCCTATTATATTTGGCGCCCAACGTGAGACGCAACGTGGAAGGTTTTTATATGTTGCAGTATTTTTTTTTAATTGGACATCTAAATAAATATGTAATATTGTTTTATTTCTAAAACCACTAAAGAAAATACCTATAAACTTTATATTCTTGAAATCAGAAAAACTTGTCTATTCAACTGTAGAATGTATGGCATTTAACCAATTTTTTTACGGAGATGGATATTGGCTAAAATTTGCATGAACATCCTGTACTTCGTTTAAACTTCAGTTTAAAATTTCCAAAACTAACTCGTCGTCTTATCTCTCTCTTTTTCATCGCCTTCCATCATTTCGAATACGTCACCTCATGCCACCACGACCATCACACCACCCTCTCGACAAAAACTCACCATCGCCTCTCTCTCTCTAACATAAAAAAAAACGACACGAAACCTATGTGCGTTTTGTTTGTTTGTTCTGGAAGCGCCTCCGGAGTGGCGATGGCACCGCCCTCGGCGCCGGTACAGCCGCAAGGGGGCGGGCCGAGGCGGGGCAGCTCGTCCAAGGATCCGCCCGGCCGCATGAAGAAATGAGGCTGAACGAGGCGGGGCAACGGCGGCGCTGAAGAGACGACGAATGGGGTGGCGTTTTTTGGAAACCGGAGGGCGTGGCGAGGTTAGGGAGCGGTCTCGATTAAGGCGTAAGCATTAGGATTGGTTTATAATTGGTAGGGCGTGTGTATAGTGATACAACACGTTTTTCATAAATATTGTCTAAGCTTTTTTTAAATCAAACGGTAAATAATTTCTATACCTTTGTTCATTTCTTGAAAATAATTCTGTGCCCCAACTAGAAGAAAATCCAGGAAATAAAATAGTTATTTTTTTCTAAACAACACTGAGTTGAATTCAAACGGAAACCAGCTTGTCAGTGTTTTTTTACTAGTTAGACAAATTTGCCTAACCGAAAAAAAATGCATAACGTTTCAAGAGTTATATCTCCTTCTGTCGCCATACGCAAAGAAACAAAGAAAAAAGAAAAAATCAAATATCTAAATACAACTATTCAAGAACACTTGTTTTTAGAGGAAACGTCTATTATAAACCGTTGATGTTCTGTTAAAATTATATTACATGAAGTCAAGGATCTCCTTGACTTCATGTAATTTCATTTTAACACAGTTTCACCTTCGAATTATTGTATGTACATGTGATCTTTATTATTTGAAACTTACAGTTGAGGGTTGGAACCTTTGGTGTTACACAGCAAAATAAAAACACTAAATCACCACAATACACCAAAACACTTTTACTTTTACACTGGACGCGCGTTTCGCTAACCATGTTCAATTTATAATCATCTGCTGATGATGCTAACATGGTTAGCGAAACGCGCGTCCAGTGTAAAAGTAAAAGTGTTTTGGTATATTGTGGTGATTTAGTGTTTTTATTTTGCTATTTGAAACTGTAAAAATATCTATTATACAGGGTGTTTCAAAACAAATGCGAAAAACTTCAGGGGGTGATTTCTTGTTCAAAATAAAGGGTAGTTTGCTTCATAAACGTTGGGTCAAAAGTCAACCATTAGGGAGATATCGCGGTACAAAGATGGCGGAAAAATTATGTTCTTATTTTTTATCTTGAAAACGAAAAGAGATAGACTAATGAAATTTTATGGAAGCATTACTGTTATGAAAACACACTTTCTGGTAATTTTTCACTTTTAAAATGAGTGGAAGGGGTTGAAATAAACTACCCCTATCATTCTTGTTAACGAAATTTAAAGAAAAATCTTATCAAACACATGCAAAAAATTATTTGGATAGTTTAGTTTGTTTAGAAACTTTTTATCTCTTGTATTTTTTGATAAAACTCACCGATTTGAAATTAAAAAATAAAATGTAAAGCATTACATGTCAGGACTAAAAATATTTTTAGATTAATAATATAGTGATAATAATGATAATAATAATAATGTAGATAATAACGTATTGCAGTAGGGTAATGTCAAATAAAACAATATTAGAAACATCCTAAAAAGTGACAGCGGCCGACTAGATTTTTTCCTAAAAAAATTACAGCTGCCCACTAGATTCTTTATCTAAAAATGTTTTTTGTCCTGACATGTAATGCTTTACATTTTATTTTTTAATTACAAATCGGTGAGTTTTATCAAAAAAACACAAGAGATAAAAAAGTTTCTAAATAAACTAAACTATCAAAATTAATTTTTTTTGCATGTGTTTGATAAGATTTTTCTTTAAATTTCATTAACAAGAATGATAGGGGTAGTTTATTTCAACCCCTTCCACTCATTTTAAAAAAGTGAAAAAATTACCAGAAAGTGTGTTTTCATAACAGTAATGCTTCCGTAAAATTTTATTAGTCTATCTCTTTTCGTTTTCAAGATAAAAAATAAAAACATTATTTTTCCGCCATCTTTGTACCGCGATATCTCCCTAATGGTTGACTTTTGACCCAACGTTTATAAAGCAAACTACCCTTTATTTTGAACAAGGAATCACCCCCTGAAGTTTTTCGCATTTGTTTTGAAACACCCTGTATAAGAACTATGGTGATCGTCCTGATAATCGGTTATGTGGATGTAACAAAATTGTTTACTATGGTTTGTTAACAATGGGTTGTGAGTACATTTTGTTTATATTGGTCAATCAAATTATAATTGCAATAGCTACGATGTTTTTTATTGCTATGTAACTCTTAATAGTTATAATATATAACAGTTTTGAGACTTCTTATTTATAAGTTATTAGTATTATTGCCACATTGCAGTCATATTTTTCACTAATTTAATGTTGTTGTTTAATGTTTAATAATTTTTCCACTAATTTAATGTTTTGGAGAGGTTAGACATTAAAGTTTGTCTAGTGGGCTAATTTTGTAGCATTTAATTGGTTCTTTATAACAATTAGCTCCTCTATGTGATAATTTGAAGAATGTTTTCTTTTTCTTGTTGTAATTTTGCTCTAAAGCAGTATAATTCTATATATTAGTGAGTCATTGGAGAGAAGTTTTTAAAATAATTATATATAAGAAACTTTAATTTATTATTTTGTAAAGTTGTTAAATTTGTTTCATATATATAGGGTGTCCCAATATTAATTATTAATTATCTAATTAATTGATCATAGGGACTTCATGTAATGTCATTTTAACAGAACGTCAACGGTTTATGATAGGCGTATCTGCTAAAAACTAAAGCGTTATTGAATAGTTTTATTTAGTTATTTTAAAGAATTTTTTCTTTGTTCTTTGTATTTTTCTTCTCGGAGATAACGTAAAAATTTTTTGACGGTTAGGCAAATTAGTAAAAAACCACTGACAAGCTTGTTTCCGTTTAGGTTCAACGCAGTGTTGTTTACAAAAAAATATATGTTTTATTTTGTGGATTTTCTTTCATTTGCCAGAACACCATATTATGATCGGATAGGCTTTTAATTTGACAGTTATAAAGCATGCTTGGTTATAGAACTTTTTGTAAAAGTTTGAAACTGTTAAGACGCTTCTCAGTTAGACTAAAGATTTTCTTGTGTTTTAATGTCTTCGGGTACCCAAAAAACGCCACTTTATTTATTTATTACCCAATAAGAACTGTTTGTCGGACTTTGGACAGAAGAGTGAAACCAATATAGTGTACAGGCGCTTGTGTGACTGGTGAAATATTTACGGCTGAAGGAAGGTGAACATTGTTAAACAATCGTGTTTTTTTTTGTTTATAAATTATAATGGCGGAACGAATTATATTATATTTATATTATAAGCGACTCTATTAAATAAGAATGGTCTGATCTCATTTTTATATCATAGAGATGACTTAAGTAAATTGTACCTTGTTAGGTTATTTGTGAAATGAAATTTATGACATTTTGTAACATTTTTTAATTAATTAGGATATTTATAATTAATAAAATATATCTCTGTCTTAAATAATGCTGCCGGCCGTGACTCCAGCAGTAGTGTGACGATCTGCTGTGCGAGAGGTACTGGGTTCGATCCCCAGACTTCACAACGTCGCTTTACAACGTACGCTTACAGACAACATATTTAGGATTACCATGCCTCTATGATTTAGTAAATCATATGCGGTAGTATCTTCATACTATCGGCCCCACGTTGGGCGCCAAATTTATCACAAACTAAACCAAACCAACAAGAGTTTACCTGACAGTTATAGTTGCCAATTATTTAACCAGTTGAATCAAATTTTCTGTCATTTTTAGATGTCATCTGTCAAAATCTTCTGACTCGTTTGACAGACTTTACTAAGAAGCTTGAACTTTAATTTTATAAGATCCTTTGTTTCATAATGTCTAAATTTTGTTTCACAGATACCAAAATTTATATGAAATTGCAGAATTTTTGCAGCAAACCGTTTTGGTCTGTGGATTCTTATATAAAAAAAACAGAATTATGGCATATTTCAAAAATTCTATTTTTCAACTTTGGAAGCATTTTTGTAAAACATCACATTCAAGTTAACCATTGGCATAAAAAATGCATTTTTTAATTGAAAATATTCATCCTGAAAATAGTATTTTTAGATACACTGAGGAATAAAGTTTGATGTTATGCATACATAAATCGTTTTTTCTGTTTATTTCTCTTGAATCCATAGAATTTGTCTCTCTATAAGTACCGATCAAATTATAAGAAAATTGTCCATTCTTTCTGAAAATTAGTACTAAATAAAATTTGTAAACAGTTTCACCTTCGAATTGTACATGTGATCTTTATTATTTGAAACTGTAAAAATATCTATTATATAAGAACTATGGTGATCGTCCTGATAATCGATTATGTGGATGTAACAAAATTGTTTAGTACGGTTTGTTAACAATGGGTTGTGAGTACATTTTGTTTATGTTGGTCAATCAAATTATAATTGCGATAGCTACGATGTTTTTTTTTATTGCTATGCAACTCAGTAGTTATAACATATAACAGTTTTGAGACTTCTTATTTAGTTATATTTAAGTTATTAGTAGTATTATTGCACATTGCAATAATTAATATTTTTCCACTAATTTAATGTTTTGGAGAGGTTAGACATTAAATTTTGTCTAGTTGGCTAATTTTGTAGCATTTAATTGGTTCTTTATTACAATTAGCTCCTCTATGTGATAATTTGAAGAATGTTTTTTTTCCTTGTTGTAATTTTGCTTTATGGCAGTATAATTCTATATATTAGTGAATAATTTCAGACAAGTTTCTAAAATAATGATATATAAGAAAATTTAATTTATTGTTTTGTAAAATTGTTAAATTTATTTCATATATACAGGGTGTCCCAAAAAAAACAAGAAGAGTTTCACAACTCCAACGGCGACTGTTTTTTCCTAAACTGGCCCTTCTAGTATTTATTATATTTTTTGTCACATGTAAAAACCGCCACATCGCATAGTTTTTGAGAAAAAAATTGTTTGAGAATTTTTTTTTCAAAGAAGACCTACAAAATATACAGGGAGTTAAAATATTCCTTGGATATAGAACAACTACGTAAGTTTTTAAATCAAAATAAGTTAATTGTACAGGGTGGGTCAAATTCGACGCTTTTAAATGGAAACACCCTTTTCTATAGGAGATAGACAAAAACTAATACCGGTGTCTGGAGCTCAATTTTTGTGAAAAACATGATGGTGAAAACCGCATGTCGATATCTGTTACCGTTTCGGCAGGCATCTTTTTACGTAGAATTTAATGATTTAAGTATAATTTTTTTAAAATTAATAATTTAAGAATTATCAACAGAAAATTTAATTTTTTATGTGGGACACCTTGTATATTTTTAATTTATTGAAAAGAATTTAAAATTACCTTTCCAAAAATATAACACACTTGATATTTTTCTCGATTCCTCTTCGGGATATAGAGTATATAAAAATTCGCCTGCTTTAAATAAGTAGGCTTTGAATGGCACCGGCTGTAATGCAAAAAAATTATAGCTGTGAGCATCAATTAAAACGAAAATAAAATATTTACTATGAGAGATGCAGAATGTTATAACAATTTAAAATATATTTAACCAACATCAACACATTTAAACTATATGTGATAACAATAAAAATAAATAGCAAACCAAGACATGAGATTTTGCTACAGGTGATTGACATATGTGATTGACATAGGCCGTTTTTGAACATTTCTCAGTGGGGGTGAAAGATACCCTCTCATAACTGCTAAGTAATTCTTGTCTAGATTATACGGAAGAATAAGGAATCTTTATTCTTCCACAAATATATCCATAGGAATAGATCCATGGGCAATAAGTCAGG